TTACGGCAAAAATTCTTGTTGTTAGTCCCTAAATGCATGGCCCTGCACTTTGCACTATTACATTTCATACCATTTCTATTACTCCACTTTACAAGGTTTTCCAGATCTTCTTGTATGATATTCTGGTCCTCCTCTATATTGGCAATATCTACCAACTCTGTCTCATCTGCAATTTTATTAGCACACTCCAACTTTTTGTGACAAGGGCAGTAATAAAAATGTTTAATAAAATTAGTCCCAAGACTGATCCCTGAGGCACTCCATTAGTAACCTCCCTCCAGGGTGACAGTTCACCTTTCATTATGACCTGTTTTTACCGGTTCCTTATCCACCTTTCAATTCTCATATTAATCCCCATATTCTCCAATTGACCTAATCATTTCCCATGTGGAACTGTATCAAATGCATTACTGAAATCCAAGTTGATTAGATCCACTGCATTTCCTTTGTCTAAAAAAATCTGTTATCTTCGCAAAGGAAGAGATGGGGGGTTGGTCTGGCAAGATCTAGCGTTTGTAAACCAGGTTGTATGCCACTACCCTTAAGATCTTCATTAGCCTTATTAAAAACTGAGGCAAAAATATTTGTTTATGTGTTGAGCCATGCCTAGATTAACTTTAATATCCATCCTCAGTGCTTAGTAGCCCCACTTCTTCTTTCCTTGTTTTCTTTTTATTTATATGGATATAGAACCTTTTACTGCTGGTTTTAAAACCCTTTGCAAGGTCCAACTCTGCTTGGCTTTTGTCAGTTCTCACTTTATCCCTACTCTTTCTGACTTCCAAAAGGTAGCTTTCCTTGCTGATTCATCCCATCTTCCATTCCTTGTAGGCTTTCTGCTTTCTCTTAATCACTTGTTTGAGATGCTTGCTCATCCAGCCTGGTCTGCAACCCTTCCTTACAAATTTCCCCCCCTTGCATTGGATGCAGGTTTCAGATACATTCTGCAGCTTTGACTAAAAGTAATTCCAAGCCTCCTCCACATTCAGATCCTTGAGTTCTTCAGTCCAGTCCACTTTCCTAGGTAATTCCTTTAATTTTTTTAAGTGAGCCCTTTTGAAATCAAGGACCTTAGTTGCAGATCTATTTTTGTTTATCCTTCCATTTAGTTTAAACTGAATTGGCTCATGATTATTTGAGCCAAGGTTATCCCCTACAACCAGTTCTTCTATGAGGTCCTCACTACTCACCAATACCAAATCTAAAATGGCATCACCTCTTGTTGGTTCAATGACTATTTGGTGAAGAAATCTGTCAGCTATCACATCCAGGAAAATCTGGGCCCTACTATTATTACTAGCGTTTGTCCTCTAATCTATATCTGGGAAGTTAAAGTCTCCCATAATCACACTATTCCCTGTAGTATTTATTTAGGTAAAAACATTAAAGATACAGCTATCTATATCCAAATAGGATCCAGAAGGCTGTAGCATACCCCAAGCACTAGTCCAGGGGAACCTCTAGTAGCTTTCTATCCCAAAGTGATTTTGGCCCACACACACTCTTCTAATTTGGAATTGGCCCATTCCATCACTTCTAATTTCTTTACAGTCTACCTCATCATTAATACACAATGTTACTCCATCACCTTCACCTTTATTTCTCTCTTTCCTGAACAAATACCATTCAATACCTGTAGTCCAGTCATGACTATTATTCCACCATGTCTCTGTTTATCCTTATAATATCTGGTTTCATTTCCTGCACCAATAGTTCTAGTCCCACCATTTTGTTACCCAGGCTACTTGCATTGGTGTACAAAAATCTTAATTGTTGCTGCTTGGTTTTGCCCACATTCCTCACCCCACTGGATACAGCCATTCTACTGCCAGTATCGCCTACCTGACTGTTAGTGCTAATACCAATGACGCTATCATTCCTCTTAATGTCCATTCTCCTACCCATTGAGTCCGATGTTAAAGCTTCCCATGCTTGATGGAATAGAGAGAAGTGGTGCCCAAATTGAGGCGTGGGGGTTGTGTCATACAGATGAGAAATGCTGGTTAGTGGGTGGTTTGGTCTCAATCAAACCATCAAAAGTGGTATTTAGATGATGCTGATGTCTGGGATGAAGCAGTCGATGTAGCGTTAAGGCTTCTCCTTTGAAAATCTTGAGCTCTTAGCCAGTGGCCCATAGAAGGAGGAAAACTGAACAGGGCAGGATCTTTGTGTCAACTGAGACCTGCTAAATTTTCTCTTATTTGCAGGTGTGCATATCACTAAAGACCTACATGTTGCCCTAGAGTCACTTAGGGTATAAAGCTAATCATCTTTGGAGTCTGTGAAGAACTTGTGGCCATCGAAAGGTAAACTTTCCACCGTCAACTGTACTTCAGACAGCTGAAGCCAGGAAGCTCTTTTCATCAGTACTGTGGTGGAAACAGACCTGGCCGAAGTGTCCACCACATCAAGTGAAGCCTGCAGTGATGCTTTTGCCAAAAGCTGATCCTCCTTTATTATGGTGCTAAACTGCTCTTGGTGTTCCTGTGGAAAATGGTAATAAAAGCATTAAACTTCTTGTAGTTCAGGCAGCCATATTATGACATCAGTGCTGGTGATTAGCTATCATGAGCTGTAACGTTGCTGATGAGTAGCTTTTATGACCAAAAAGGTCCAGATATTTCCAGTCCTTATTATAAGGTGAGGCTTTTGGGGTATGTTGCCTGCCCCTTTCATTTACTGCACCCACGACCAGAGAATTTGGTGCTGGATGAGAAAATAAAAATTCAGAATCTATGCCCAGGACATAGTATATATTTTTAATCAGCCCACTTGCACATGTGGCAGGGAGGGTGTGTGTGTTTCTGGAGTTTGCCAGATGGTCTTGGCTGGCTCAAGAAGGGCTTTGTTAACTGGCAGTCCCATCTGCACTGAAGTGTGCAATATGTTCAGGAGCTTGTGATGGGATTCCTGCATTTCTTCCAGGGGAATCTGCAGAGTGTAAGGGACCCACTTCATCAGGACCTGGAATTGCATGAAGTCATCAGCTAATCATGGCAGTGGTGTCATGACTGCCTCTTGAGGTGATGATGACAAGGTGTTTGTAAAAGGGTAACCTCCTTGGCTGCCCTTGCCTCTTGCTTCTCAAAGGTCTCCTCTAGCTCAGAGTGGAGAGGAGGGATTGACAGTGCCTGGGAACAAGGTCTTCTGTGTTCCTTATGGGACTGAATCAGGTCCCCTGAAACTGCTAGTGGTACATTGCCCATGGACCCCAATTAGACCAATAAGAGGGATCATAAGGCATGGAGGGAGGTATCCAACGTTGGTCATCCCAAGTGTTAGTAGCCAGGGGTCTGTTATCCTGCCTTTGTTGCATCTGTATCAAGAAATAAAGTCTCCTGGAATAATCTGGAAAGCCTTAAACAGAAAATTTAGAGTCTGAGTCAGACTGCTCCTCCACATATTGTATCGTAACTGACAATCCTTCATCATGGCTAACAGAAGTTGTGGAAGAGGCAAGTTTCACAGAAACATGAGCAGTTGGTGACTCAGCAGACCTTGGTACCGAGAGATGTCTGGAGGTCACAAGCTGTGGAGACTCAGGCTCATTCAGTACCATGAGGTCTTTTGGGTACCAATATTCCTATAGTACTAGGAGCACAACAGAACTTGGTACAGGCACTGATGATGTTCTGGATGCCATTGTCCAAGGCATGTCAGTATCGAGGGGATCACAGATACCATTGAAACTGCTCTGTTGCTCATATTCATCTTCACTATCGAGTCCTTTACTGCTGCGATATGGGATTTAGTTGACATCTTACAGTGCTTCGCAGTGGCTGAAGTTCTCAGAGCCTCATTAGCACTCCTCTTGGGGCCTGAAGTCTTGAGTAACCATGTCGTCTTTGAGGAACTCTCTATTTTGCTCCTCTTATCATCCTCTTTAGTCTTTGAGTGGGAAGCTCTCGGTACACCCTGCACCGCTGTCGGTACCTCACTCATGGACAATGTCAGAGGCCGGGGTTTCGATGCCATCTTCACCTTGGAAGCTTTCATGACCATGCTCTTGACGTTGACAGGGCACTGACTGAAGTAGAGGGGCTCTGTACAGAAGGGTTTCTCTGCACCCGGGACAGAAACCGGTCTTAAGATCTGCTCCATAATTAAGAGCCAATACTTTATTTCCCTGCTCTTAAAGGATCTTCCCTTAAAAGAAGTGAAGATTTTGCATTTGCTGGGAATAGGAGTCTCTCTCAAACAACTAATACACTGAGATTGCCCGTCACTGACAGAGATTGCTTGTTGACAAGAGAGGCATATTTTAAACCCTGAGGAGTGCAACATTCCAGACAGAAGAAAGTTTGTTAGGGCCCTTCAATGAGGGAAAACACAAACAAACAAACAAAATTTTTTTTTTTTTAAAGAAAAGAAATAAATGTGAACAAACATTCCAAAAGCTATAAGGTACTAAACGTACCATTACTACTGCTGCTAAGAACTAATAATGCTAGGAATACTAATAAAAGAGGAAAAAGGCACATACTACATTCCATCTCTGGCAAGAGGAGATTGAGAAGAAATTGAGAGCAGTTTGCCCACGCAGCCCTACATTGCCTCTGTATGGAGCACAAGGATGTGTAGGGTGCATGCGCAAGCTGAATGGGCATTGCTACCAAAATTCTCCAATCAAAGGTGGATGCACAGCTGAAGTGGAGCACCCGCAGGGACATGACTCGAAAAACAAGAATTATTTCTTACTCATGAAACAAGCAAACCAGGAGCAGTTTGAAAGTTTACATGCTGGAGAGAACAAAATTTGGGAGAACAGAAAAGGAGGTAAATATACAATACATAGACAGGGAGAGGAATAGTTTAGGCTACAGTATAAATCATTTCTAGTCCATACTTTATTGTAGTTTGTGGTACAGCCATTTCCCTCCAACTTCACAGCTTCAAATTTGCTAATTCAGGCTTTGCCATCAAAACAATGTAGTAAAAATGTGTAAATGCAGTAGTAAATATAGTAAATGCAAATAAATTATTTTAAGTCAAGCTTTTACCTGATCTTCACTAGTTAAGCCAATGTGCATCACGAGATAAAAATGCACTAGGAAATCAGAATTTGGCAAAACATCTTGGCGCCTAGTCATCATAGCACAGATCAACCTGTATGCTTGAAGTTTGCCTTCTTTATATTCATTTGGTAAGGTTGTTGCCTGAAAAGAGCAGAGAATTTTTATTAAGAGATCTCTTCTAGTTACTAAATAATTCAAATCTCTATCTCCAGCAAGAAAATTTGCAACATACAGCAACCAACTGTATGTATGCTTGCCAATAAATGTTTTGAAGCCACATTCTAAATATGGATTCTCAAGAGTAATTTAGCTATTCGAGACAAAAGTATAGCTAAAGGGTGGACACTGATTATTTTTCTAATACATCTAGAACAACAAGGATTGCAGAAAGCAAACACCGTAAAA